GTGTCCGAAATATGTGCACTGCCATATGGGCATCGTATTTTCATTGCTGCTCCAGTGATGGTGCCAGTAGCCACAACTTTTGCCCCACGGGACCAAATTCGTGGTGCAAGCACAAGCGTGCGGAAGCTCTCGGGGAGCCTGCACCACGCCACACTTCACTGTTAACGAAGGCTCAAGGATTGGCAATTATGCCTATCTACAAGCGCCTTACAGAGGAGAAACTCCTTATTCGGTGCCTTCATGGCAAGACACAGAATGCAGCCGAATCGCTGAACAGCAAGATATGGCTGCTATGTCCAAAAACAAAGTTCGCCTCCAGAACAACTGTGGAGACAGCCACCGCTCTTGCTGTACTCTGGTACAACAAAGGCCACAGGGGCTTTGAAGAAGTGCTCGAAGGCATTGGAATTCTCCCCTCACAAGATCTGGCCACACATGGTGACCACTGTGACGTCATGCGCATCAGGAAGATGAACCTGAAGCAAACTGCAGAAGCGAGGGCACACCGTCGCAACACAGCGAAGAGAGCTCGTGTTGAGGACACTGACCGCAAGAGCCGTGAAGGACCAAGCTATGGTGCAGGGGACTTCTAGCCACTTGCAGTGCATTCAAGGCAAGGTACTTTTCATTGTGCCCCAATTTGATGCAAAAAGAATGATTTCCCAATAAATGCCAACTTTGCGAATTTTCAAACTTGTTTTTCTCATTTTCATTTTTTCTGACAGTTTCACGTTTTCCGGGCAGCCTTTTAGAAACTTATATTCATTGTATAGTAACGAAACTTGGCACACATATTCTTCAACACATGCAGAATGCAAATATCTACTCTAAATTGCAATGCCTACCAGCATTAGTTGTGAAAATATTACCTTATTGTTTCAAGGGAGATTGAAAATAATAAGTCATTCAATACAATTTTTTTTTTCTTGGTTCCAATATTTCTGTGACATATCTATATAGATATTTGCACTTTTCAATCTACCAAGAGTCAAATAAGATCAGACACAGTGCTTTTACTGAAAGTTTAGTACATAAAAGAGTGCCCGCAAAAAATGTCACTTTTTGCTATTGTTTATGGCATAACTCAATAATTATAGCAGCTACACAAAAAATGATTGCATATTTGAAATCTGCATGAAAAACTATACTAATAAGAAACTTTTCAAGTCTCTATTACTAGAAATAAAAAAAAAACTTTTTCGAGGAGCGTCTCCCCTTAATTGACAATCACACACGTATGAACGCTGATCCTTGACCAACATTGGTGGGCGCTGCGGGTGGGCTCAGCCGTTCAGGGTATCGGCTTGCGCTGTTTAGAAAACCCGGTTCGCGGTAACGATTAACAAACAGACAAATGTGCAGGCAGACAGACCAAAGTTTTTACATCGAAGATCCCCAAGAAAGACCATCGTCTTTAAAAAAAATGAGGTGCTCTGATAAGTAAATATATTTACCAGACGCACTCAGAATGCTCCGAGTGCGTGCAGTAAAAGTAAAAAAAAATGTATATTCGGCCAATGTAATACCCCTTAGCCAGGCAGTGAGCAAGTCAGCTGTTTGATGTTCAGAAGAACCAGGAAGTAAACGCACAAGTTAAAAGCAACCACAAATGAAAGTTTGAAGGAGCCTGCGACATTCTGACATCGTTGTCAAAGCTGCTAGGAAATGTAGAATTGGTGCCATATCGCCGAATCTATGTAAAATTAGGACACAGAAGCCTGGCCGCCACTGGAGCATAATCTATTTTACTATAATGACTGTAGCCCCATGCCGCTTAGTAGGTAGATTGGATTGAATTAGATTGACCTGAACTGCTGTATTTACTGACTCAGCTATTTAGGGTTGTGGATTAGATTAGATCTAATTGGACCTGGATTGCTGTTATTTACTACTGATTTGCATCGCCACTTAATTTGCGCACCTCTAAAATATACTTTTCAGCAAAAAAAAAAAAAGAAACAGCAACTACTACTCGTGCATTCTGTGTACCTTGCCTTGACGACGAGTAATGACGTTACAGAAACAGAGTCGTACTGCAAAATTTTCTTTCTTTTTCCAGCGAGCACATGCATGTTTATATTTTGTCTCTGGGCTGTGACGCTTGAAGTGCAACGAATGTACTCAAACGAATGTACTCATACGGCTGCAATGAAAGCTGGAGACAGCGTTTAAGGGCAGACACCCCACTTAAACTTTTTATTATTATTTATAGGTGAATTTTGATCAATCTTCCATCGTTTACGTGTCTTGACATTCTGATTTGAAATATGCAATTACTTTTTCTATGCAACAAGTATTTTCAAAATATTGCTACGGAAATGAAGTAAAGGAAGAGGAAGGACACAATCAGCTGACAGGCGCGCGAGTGTGCCAATCAGCCATCGTGACTCTTGCCGGTGGCTTTTCCTCTGTAAAAGCATTTTGTACAGACGTCACCGATCCCATAACAATATTGAGAAATTTATGTTTTTTTGCATTGACTAATTTGGAGATGATTTTATTCTTTTTGAGAGCTGGTAGTGATAAAAGACAGTGGCATATGCAAATTATGTTGTATAGACAGAGCTTGCAGTGCTACAAGAATGCATGCTCTAAACTGATTTGGGCCGAAGTTGCAGCATATCAAACATTTGTAAGCAAAATGCTTTAGCAACAACCTCAAAGAAATTATTACTTTTTGAAAACATCTCATGTTATTCAACTTTTATGCCTACTGCACTCCCAATTTGTCACTATTCTAACAAAACAAGAATCACTGTGATGATAACCACCAGAGATATAGCCACTCCAAAACTAAACCGCGATCAAAAAGGCAGTTTTGGGAAAACGAGAAAAACATTTCAGGACAAGTTAGAAATGATTATGGAAATCTCTTGAACAGTAGTGATTTAGGGAGATCTATGGGTTCAATCAGGCAAAAATGAATCTTTTTTAACAATCTCGAATGATATTAAGGCATTTCAAAATTTATTTGTAAAACCCAATATTAACTTTAAAAAATATATTTATAAATGCTGTTTAATAATATGTAACAATGCAATATTCCTACTGCACTTGACAATTCACCACCTTTCTTACACAAAAAAGAATTCTTGAAACTGTTTGAGTAGAACTAGAAATATTGTTGCTCTGAAATGCCACTTTGGGGACGCCCCTGCAGAGTGCTACTATCTGCACTGACGATTTCGGATGCCCCGGCACCACGAGCCGCTTGCTCAACGGTCGCAGAGCAGCGCATTACCGTGCCTTTGTGGAGAGAACTGCCATCACTTCTATCACCGTTATCAGGTGCAGAAGCAACAATGCTCGCTTGCAGAAACCCGTGATATCATGCCGTTAGCATGTTTTATTACTAATATTTTATTTTCATTTTGGCTCGCCTTCGGCCAATCTGATACACCGAGTGAAACTTTCTCGGTCCTCCAAGCACGTTCGTCGTAGGATCATAACCTAAGCCGAAATAGTGCCTCAACTAGCCAGGTTTTTATATACAGCGCCCTAAGCCAATCGGCAAGCAATGAAAAGAAAAGTGGTAGGTGTAACCTTAAGAGACAAGAAGAGAGCAGAGTGGATTAGGGAACAAACGGGGGTTCAGGATATCATAGCTGAAATCAAGAATAAATGGACATGGGCCGGGCATGTAGCGCGTAGACAGGATAACCGCTGGTCGTTAAGGGTAACTAACTGGATTCCCAGAGAAGGCAAGCGGGTTAGGGGGAGACAAAAGGTTAGGTGGGCAGATGAGATTAAGAAGTTTGCGGGTATAAATTGGCAGCAGCAAGCACAGGACCGGGTTAACTGGCGGAACATGGGAGAGGCCTTTGTCCTGCAGCGGACGTAGTCAGGCTGATGATGATGATGAAACCAATCGGACGACACCATTTTAGCCACGTGATCGGAAGTGGCCAATGACAACGTTTTACACCTACTTTCTTTTTCCTTTTTATCTGAAAAAGTGGCAAGCTCAGTGTTACTCGACCAAGCGATAAAAAAAGCCAAATGCGAAAGCTTTTCAACGATACCAAAATGGCCGCGTTTGAGCGGGCCAGTAAAGAGTTACAGGCAGCCAAAATGGGCGCGGTTTGTTGACAATGTAAAGGGCTGGGGGCGTGCCAACGTCAAGTCTTCCTTTAAAGTGCCGACGTTTGAATATGTGGTGGCAAAAAGAAATCTGTCAAGATGCAACAGCTACCTTGATTTACGTGCCGTTCTGTGGACGTCACGCTAAAGAATAATTGCAATCTCACAGAATTGAAATGAGAAATTTAGCTGAAGTGAGACAAGTGCTACCCTAGAAACACAAGCCACCCGCAATAAGTGAGTAGCTGAGGACGGTTGTTCTTGCATCACCAATAATAATAATAATAATAATAATAATAATAATAATAATAATAATAATAAACGGCATAAGTAACCCGGCAAGCTTCTGCTGATGGCAGTTCTAGCATAGACAAACCAGATGGCCTTCAAGCCGAGCCGAAATCGTGGCCTAGACAAACATGCAAGAATTTACAAACGAGAAAAATGTTCTGGTTTGAAAGTCAGATAGGCTGTGTGATGTGTACAACCAACACACACCAAAATAGTGCATGCACCAACATGGAAGCTAAGAAATGCTTTAGCCAATGCGAAGGACAAGTTGCCGAGCAGGAATTTCCTTTTTCTTGTTTATGCCATAGACTTCCACAATTGTTGATTGATATGTGGGATTCAACGTCCCAAAACCACCATATGATTGTGAGACACCGTAGTGGAGGGCTCCGGAAATTTCGACCACCTGGGGTTCTTTAACATACACCCAAATCTGACCACACGGGCCTACAACATTTCCGCCTCCATCGGAAATGCAGCCGCCACAGTACCTTAGCCACTAGGCCACCACGATGGGGCTGCTACAATTGTGACAACCAGTATATCAGTGAAGCTGGCGATTTCAAAAACCAGCCTTCCAACAGGGCAGCCTTCCAGCCTTCCAACAGGGCAGAAAAGTGTGTGCTTACCTTCTGTCTTTTGTGATGACCCAGGGTTTTGCAATGATAAGGCTTCAGTTCCTCCTTCATGAACACATTGCATAAAGTACAAAAGTAGCCACGCACTTCCTCCAAATATTCTTCACCTGCAGGTACCAGACAAGAGCACCAATCTTAGTAGACAAAAGCAGTGCTTGGAGTATCGAGAAGTGGTTCAACAATATTACATCCAGTTTATGAAAACAAAAGGGTCTACAGAAATCGCAGCGTACCACTGGGCTGATGTCACCCCTCAATCCTGTGATGCTCATTCACAACTCTAAAGCTCTTTGAGGCACCACTTTCCGCTGAATAACTCATAGGATGTAATCTGGTTTTCCACATCTGCAATCCAGCAACCCACGAGACAGGCTCACAGATGCTTGTTAAACCTGAGAAGACAGTGCAGCAATGCCTTGGGACACTATGGCCCTTTACCAATAAAATTCACCACCCATACAAGTGACTATGCCTATTGGAATGGTCTGCGCTACGCACGGGCAGCGTGCAGAAACATCAGCTATTCGTGCATTTTATTACATTATTGATATCTCAGGGGTGAGACGGCAGAGTCTAAATTGGGAGCAGTTTATGGAGCAGACAATTTCAATTTTGGAGTACAATAACCTTGCTTCGGAGCAGTTAGCGGCATTTAATATGTTGTCCTAGGAGCTTCAAAATACAAACTTTTAGCAACGTGGGGACAGCAGAGCATACTTTAATTGGCTAAAAGTACACATAACACTGAAACAGATTTTCAAGGAAGTTTTTGAACAGATTATCACCAGGTATGAACTGCACTACCTTTTCACATACCATGTGACCTATCTAGCCCTCGTAACAAGCATGTGATATAATATTCAAAAAGGGTTTTGTTGAAAGCTAGGTTTCCCAGAAACATTTAAAATGAAAAACCCATCATACTCAAAAAGAAATTCAAAAACTGTGATTGCACAAGAATCGTAGTTATGTAACAGCAGGCCTTCTCTTAAAGGGACACAAACACTTGAAAAACAAAAAATGAGATTATGGTGTCCTGATCCGTAATTTCATGCGGCGAACTCGAAAATCAAGTCGAAAATTTGCATAAACCAACGCAAAAAATTTGCCGAAAAGAAGCAGCAGGCACCGCGGCTCCCATCGTGAGTCTCGTCGCTGCTGTGAATGGTTGAAGCTCCATGACATCACTGTCAGGACAGTGAGGACAGCTGACTGTGCTCACCGGCAGTCAATGCCGTGTTTCTGTGTTGAGGCGCTGCACCATGCTCCCTACCGAGCTGCAGAAATTAGGCGCCTTTTCTTCTTCTAACCACTACCACCACCAGCACCACCACCACCATCTGTTGATGGTGGTGGTGTAAGTTGCTGTAAGTATAGCGAACCGTGAAAGACGGACAGAGTTCACTGTACGTCTGCACATGTTCGAGCCGGTCGCCATTTTAAGGGCAACGAATGAAGCGACCCAGGAAAGCGAGTCTTAACCAGCCACCTTCACCTGCGTCGGAAACATACACTGGCATGCATAAGATGCCTGCCAGTGCTTATTTCACTCTAGTAAACTGTTACAAACGATATGCTTATCAGTTCATATCAAATTCGATAAGAAACAGCAGCGGCACTCGCTTTTAGCCTATTGGCATGGTCTGCGCTACGCGCGGGCAGCGTGCAGAAACATCAGCTATTCGTGCATTTCACAGCTCAGAGTGCAGCATTGTTAATGCAGTCAGTATCATACTGCGCAGCGGGCAAGATGCACACGGTGACTCAGTATGTCACCCCGAGAAAAAAAAAAAGAGCGAGACGAGTGCCGCTCTTCTCTCAGAACTGCGCTGAAAATTGCGCAAAAATAGTTTGCCTCATATATTGCAATTCTGTATTTTTTATAATACTGTCGCTTTTTCTAAATTCTGCCCAGGACTGATGTCTTAAAATGCAGATGGTGTATTAGCTGTGCTAGAAGCATGCGACTGTCATGCAGAATAGCTGATTTCGATTATGCGTACTGATATCTTTGTACGCGTGTTTTCACTATAGGTGCTCATGCATGCATTGCATGCAAAACGGGAAAGAGGAGGAGTGCTGCTGCTGCCTCGAAATTCGGCAGATTCGCGACCGCCACAGCGCGCTTCATCTCGTAGGTTTGAAGTATTTTCTTTTAACTGCAGCGGCTCATTTTGCAGCCATCTTCTGATCCCGAGAAAACTTGTGAAAGGCGACCTAATCACGACCGTAAGTGCTGCAGCAGCTTAATGTCGCGCAGCGACTCAGCATAGCGAATCCCCTCAACCTTGTAAAAACACAATTAGTGAATGTCGGATAGCGAAAATCTCTAATCAGAAGAAGGGAACAGTGCAATGGCAAAAAAGCTCTACGAACTGGCGGAACTGCTGCTATGCCAGGCCGCAGATCGCAACAGAAACAAGGCACAACCGCGAAGTAAACAAGCTGAGCTGACCGAGCGACGCAGGCGGCCCAGTGCATAGTTGCCCACCGGGCAGTGGCTCGATCCTCAAAGTGACGTCATGGCCCAACGTGTCTATCTCTCCCCTGCTCCTCCACTGCGCGCGCCCGTGCCAGAGGGCATTCTATTAGTCGAAGTTTGCTCGCTCATAGCACTGTTCATTTTATCGAACCTCGCAAAAAAAAAACCCCTGTAGACATGTTGCGAGAGGTCACGAATATCGAATTCGCAATAAAATCGTGAATTCAAGTCCTCTTCCAGAAAAGCCTGACACGATAGCATCAATGGTACTGCAAGTTTTTGACAGACAACAAAAGCTTGCTGCACCGCCGTTCATGGCTACGTCCGGCAGAACCACCTTTAAGAGTGCAGCACAGGAGCCAAGAAACCTCGCCGCATCGACTATCTTTGTGCCATACGCGCATGCGTATGGCACAAAGTGATAATAATCTAATGGTACTGATGATGCCTCTCCACGCGAGCAATGATGCGTTATTAATATGGCCCACGCTGGCCTGTTCCATTTTCTGTAATATCACAGGTCATCACCATCGAACCCAGAACTTCTGATAATACATCGACTTGAGATTTCCGCCCGCGCCGCATGACCTCATATGCTTTTGCAAAACGTTGATTCAACAGGCCACCAAACTGACTGGTCAAGTGTGCGTGTTCTGGCCAAAGGAAAGCTTGCAGCATGCCTGCACCTGGAATAGCAGCACATGCAGACAACTGCACATATGCTGAACAGGAGTAATGGGACTCTTCCACCAATGTACTTCCGGTCCTTATGTCACGCACTTAGGCATACTTCATTTCATTTTTTTTCATTTGCAGTTAATTATATTAAGAAAAGTTACAAGATCAACAAATATACAGGCCAGGGTCCCAAAATGAAAAAAAAAAAAAACTATAGTGGGATGCTGCGCCTTTCTGATGGCTATTTTTGTGAACAAATCTCCCGTAGTGGGTGCCATAATGTCAAGTAAACTTTGTATTCTGTTGGTAGGAGCTTCGTTTCGAGTCTTTATTAAGAAACAACAGTTGCGCACCGTTTTTTTTTTTTTTCACATCTTTTACTACAGGAACAGCCAAAGAAGGGGCTTTTTCAGCTTTGATGAATGGTAATGCTCCTTTTTGTGACAGTCACACAGACTGCCAATAATTTCCATGAGCAGGCCAAATTCTTCAAAAATTCCCCCAACTTTTCCAGAAGGGTCCGAATTCCCAAGCTTTTCCAGGTTTTCCAGGTTGGTAGACACCAAGGTCTTGTGCTGCGCCGCGAATTCGCAGCCCGAGACCACAGTCTACGCTATTAGCCAATTAGCTCTGGCAACAACACGACGGCACTTTTAATGCAATGCAATGAATTGCAATGCAATGCAATTGAATTAATGCAATGCAATGCAAGTAAGGCTAGCAACCGACTCTTTTGGATTCGATATCTCGGAACTCCTACAAAACGCTGGTGTAAGCAAATACAGCTTCTCCAAGGAGAAGCGCTCTTTTGATACAGTCTCCTCGAGCTGAAAGCATACGGATGCTTGCCAAGATTGCATGAGTGCCAACGATCGCGACCGTGTCCTTGAAATCAAAGGTCACTGTTGGAACTCCAGTAAATCCCTTCCCCACGTTTTTTCATGCTCGTTCAAGGAGGGTGGTTTCCTTTCCGTTGGAGCATTCGGTGGCAGTTCAAACACACAGGGAGATGTTATAGTGCGCCCTCCGGGCGACAGAAATCGGCCGGCTCATTTGATCTCCACTTGAGCAGCGCTCGCGCTTTTGCCCACTCATCCAAGTTGCTGCGCGAGGACATGTTATCAATTTGAACTTGTTACGGAAAATGGAAGAGACTGCAGAAATCCTCCGAGTGTCCATATTATTTCTACCACAATAATATCGAAGTTTTTTACAGCCAAATAACTGTTTTGTGTTAGTTCTGCCTTCAGTTGCCCTTTTGTTTATATTTGTTTGTTTATATTTGTTTATTTTGTTTATATTTTCGAATTTTTATACCGAACCTGTATATAAGAAAACTTTATTTGTAACAAATTTTTCCGTGAATTTGTCAATTTGGTTTTATCAACGTTTAACTGCAATGCACTTTCTCGGTTTTGGCCTGCACCGCCACATGCTTTTACACTGGAAATTCAAGGAGATTTATCAGCTGTTTGATATACCTAACAATTCAATATATCACAGTTCGATATATCCAGAATTGACTGTATTCACTTCGTGCTGAACAGATTTTTTTTTTTTCCTACCGTGTCAGAAAACAAGAGAGGCAGCTTAATGTATTTCATAGACTAGGTGACATCAATAAACATTACTGCATATTTGAAATCAGCCTGAAAAACTAGACAAGTGTTCTTATCAGGTTTCAAACATCCAAAAAATGCCTCTACTTACCTAAAGTTCCATCTGACCCAGCCAGCTGTACATCTTCTTCTACTTCCACATTCTGTCAACGAAAAAAGTAAGTTGAAATAAACTTATGCACAACAAGCTTACTATACAGAAGATAATAGCTTTTTCTTACCTTAAGGTGCACTACACCACCACAGTGATGGTCGTAGTGCTCGCGATTACTGAAGCTCATGCTGCAGGTATGGCACTTGGGATACTTCTCATCCCGCTTTTTCTACACAATGAAAAAAACAAAGGTACAAATTGAGCAACGATACCATTTTTTTTTTTTTATTGAAGTCTGGAGTTTTGTGCCAACCCTCAATATCACCCGTACCGATTTTGAGCACAAAAGGTTCTCCGACATGCACCAACATCCAAGTGTACATAGCTGTTACTGCATTGCAGGCCCATCAAGGTGTAGCCAGCCCTAGCCAGAAGCTAAACCAACACAGGTTTGCGGCAGAATGTGGGGCACCAAAAGGCATCTAACACCTCTGTCTCACAGGAGGTTTTCACGTCATTCAAATGAAATGACAATCGCATCTGATGACATTTTGTGCCTGCTACACAGCGATATATAATGTAATTAGAATCGAATGACTTAAAGGGGCCCTGAGAACACTCTTTCAATAGCCATGGAATGAATTCACTGGAAGAGCTTACTGCCTCACGAATTCATCGCCGCAAAAATTTTAAGAATCCGTCCAGTGCAAGTGGAGTTACAAAGATTTCTCGCATGCTGCAATTGAATTTCTCTCTTCTCTCATCCTGACGAAAGCGCTGGAAGCTAAGCAGGGTGAGATGCCAGGAGCAAAGAAAAACGTCACGCGGGCCTCGTGACCTTGTGCACCTTTTTTTTTTTCTTCAAATTACATGGCTTTTTCAGTGTGATCGCAGGCGTGGACGAGCTGCGGCCTACCGCGGCGATCTCTGTAACGACCGAGCGCACCAAGTTCAAATCAACCAATGGCTGATAGATGAGCTTTTTAAGAGTGATTTCTGAGCGTCTTCTGTGATTTGTCAAGAGAAGAAAAAGCAATTTTCAGCTGACTTGGATAATTTATTGTGAATTCCACGCAGCGCGCTACAGTCTAACATATGGCTCGCGTGTTGTCGGGAGCCTCAACTACCTATCAGCAGCGTTTTCTGACCATGCTCAAACAGTGTTCAGGGTTCCTTTAAGCAATCAAATGAGTTGTAGAAACACATTTAGCATCACAGTCGAATCCAATACATACTCTATACCCCAGAGACTACTAGAAAGGTGGCATTCAGAATTCTCAATTTGGCCCACATTCATGGAAATACGTTGTTAATGCTGCTTTTTTTCAAAACATCTATCACTTTAGCAAGGACAGGAGTATGGAAGGCTGTCGTAAAATGTCCTTACTCTCCACCTCAGTGGCATCTGGGAGCTGACGCGGTCTATCATGATGTAAACAAGCAGACGCCACTGTGCATGTGTATGCGTGTATCTGCAGTGAAGGCATCAGCTGCTCAAGCAAGCTGTTCGCCCGCATGGACGCATGCGGGACTGTGTTCTAAAGGAAACGAATGCGAAATGCTCTGGGTTTTTAACCTAAAAATCGGAACATAGGCCGACCCCCCCCCCCCCACCTTAAATTTGAATATCCGAAAAATAAATTTTAAAAAAAAAACTTAAAGTACCGTGACGCACCCTTACCCTGGTAAATACGCGACACAACCAGCTGCACTAAGGTGACATTCCTTTTTATTTGGACACTAATCTTATGTAGTTAAACGCCAGAAGGCCACAAACAGCTGCCACTCAGACTCGTCCAAACTTGAGTCCGACGACATCTGTTTTTCACTAGTAACGTCACACAGTGCATCGTCCTTCGTTCCATATAATGCGTTACTGATGCAGCATTTGCGGAAATACGAACATACGCCATCTTGGCGCAAAGCCCTTCCGCTTCATACATCGGCGCATTCAAGATGGCAATCCCTTGAATTGCACCCTCGAGCCCAGAGTCGCGTGCTATCTCGAGAGCTTCCACGCGGATGCACTCTGCTGTTTAGGGTAGCGACCTTCCCCGCAGCTCCCAAATGAATTCGGCGAAGATGCACTGCAGTCTGTCCACGAAATGAAGTTTTTTATTTTCGGTTGCTGCAAGATATGATACATTGCTTTTCGCTCCTCCAGTATCGGACGCTTTTCTCCTATGCACCAAATTTTTGTTGTGCTGCCAGATTGCCGTGTGCTGCGGCATACTCTATAACTTTTTTCTTAAAGCCTATCGTAAATTGCCATCGAGTACCATACATTTGTGAAGGAAATCGAAAAAGGAAAACAGCCAACTGACAGCAGATAACGGAGGCAAAATGACATTGCTAGAACACTGTAGGCCTTGCCTAGCCTTTCCCAACCGCGCTGCTGCTGATGCTCACATGGCAATGGAGGCTTTTGACTTCCGCTGCCCTTTGTTGCGAGACTCCCACATTTTTTTTTCTGCCAATGACCAGTATTAAGATGAGAGGCCAACTTTTCATTGCATTTTTTTTTTATTTCGACCTCTATTCTAGTTTTTACAGTAAGTGTGCACTCGCACTGCAAATTATACCACGTGAACATCAGTTCCTTCGCATTCTAAAACCTTAAATATATGTGTACGGTTCTATCTGTCTTGTTTTTTTGCAACCGTTCAATGTATACAGTGATGCTGCTGGCTTTGACTGCTTTGGAGCAGCTTTTGGAGCAGACAACAATGTGTTTTGGAGCAGCAAAACTGGCTTTCGGAGCAGATATTGCTAGAGTCAATTTTAGGGCACATACTGTGTTTTGAAGAAATCCGTAAAGAGGGGTTGTGTCGAGCCGACCGTCTGACAAGAGGACTTGTCTTCCTCAGAACAGAAAAGTTCTGTTCTAGCCTTGAGAAAGACAAGTCCGCTTGTCGAAACGTCAGCCGGACACAACCCTTCTTTTTGGATGTTTCTTCATCCCAAGCTTCTATCTACCCCTTCCTGTCGTTTGGAATATTCAGTGATGCCATCGTAGTCTTCTGATTTGGAGGAATTTTCGCAGCAGCAAAATTTTCACTTTGGAGCACTTTGGAGCAGCAAAATGTTTCTTTCAATTGGAGAACTTTGGAACAGCAAAATTTCCGATTTTAGAGCAATCTGGAGTAGCTAACTTAAAATCCTGGAGAAGAAGCAAGTTGCATTCACATTCAAGGACAAGAAAAGTTATTCTGAAGAGCTAGAAATATTTAGATTCATTGCAAATTTCACGAAGCAAGTCATCTTAAACACTCCCTATTTCAGTTGATGATGCAAGAAAAATGGCATCATGCTGTTTAGCATTCTGGAAAAGCTTGTTCAGTGATTATTTTCATAGCAAATAAACAGGATACAGGTTGAATAAAATTCTGCTTTATGAAATAACAACATAAATACACCTATGTAGTTATTAGCAGATATGGTAGACAAACACTGTGACGTACAACGCTACAGACTCAGACAGTCCCGACTACATTTCCCTAAGATGAGTTCAAGAATAAAAAACGGTTCTTTTTCTTCACAACCGATCACACGGCTGGGTGTAAAATGCCATTCAGCTAGTCTCAGAAAGCCAGCCTCCTCCAGCACTTATCTCTGTGCTGGAACTACACAATTGAACGAATTTCATTTTCCTTTTGCAGCACTATTCTTTATGTGACAAGGGCATTTAGTCTATACTCCGAAAAACCCCTACCGTGTCCTCTAGAAAGCAGTGCATAAAAAAAAACCTCACAGGGTATCTCATGCATACACTTAAGATAACTCGAAGGAAAGAACCATTTTGTTTTTAATGGAATAGCAATTATATGGACATTCTCAACTGGTTTTTGCCATTGCCAGAGGTGTAGCCAGAAATTTTTAAAAATTTGGGGGGGGGTGTGTGCACCTTCATCTGAAGGGAGGGGGCGGCAGGCACAAAGGTAATTTCGTGCTATGTATGCCGTGGCGAAAAAAATTTCGGTGGTGGTGGGGGGCACGTTTTCGATGTGCCCCCTTTCCCCGGCTATGCCACTGGCCGTCATGTTTTGTGTAATGTACCAATCAATAACATCCCCCGGCGCACCGTGTTTTACATGCGTGTAAAAGCGTAAGAGAGAGGGCGACCAACGCGTCTAAAGCAGAGATAAAAGCCGACCTATCTCCTTTGCACTGAGGACAGATGCGTTAAGATCGCCCCACGTGCCAGAGGCCTCCTATCGATTGTTACTCAAGCAGAGAGGAACGCACCGCCCGTGTAATGGACAGGAAGGATTGAGCTATGAACACGAGGGGGGGGGAGTGTTATGAACTTTCAACTTTAATGGTGTGCTCGCTGGCTGGTATACCCTTCTACTTTACGCTCTCAACGCGAACAGACTGTGTGAAAAGTGCTTCACTTTCTAGAGCGGCCAAATAAGCGTATGCACTGAGCCTTGACCGCAAGGCGGCTGCACCATCGTCGCGCCATATCGAAGGCCCAATCGTACATGCCGTTCGTGCTGTACAGGTAGAATCAAACTGGTCTAGAGCAGCGGAGCGCATGCCTGTTGACACTGTTATTGGCCACAGCTTCTATCTCACGTTGGCTACAAGTTTTCGTTGATGCTTAAATTACAGCACAAAGGCCTAACACGCAGTACAACCATGTTTGGTAGCATTACGGCGTCTCTCTTTACATATTTGTGAAGAAAATGCCAGCTGGAGTGGCCGGCTGGGCGCTCTAGACAAGTCCATACCTGCTAACCTGGCAACAGAAAAATTCGTAAAACATCCAAGCGGGGAAAGGGAGGGGGCGGGGGGGGGGGCGTACTGGCTTTTTTTTTTTTTAGGGGCGAAGCTCCTTAGGGCGTGGGCTGTGCGTCCCCTGTATGTAGCAACCTCTAGTTTAGTTCTTGCAGTGTTCACTAGATGGCGGTACCGTCTCCTGTATGTAGCCACCTCTCGTTTAGTTCTTGTAGTGTTTACTAGATGGTGGTACTTGTAGCTGATGATGAAAAGATGCAAGATGTTATAAACTAGAAAGCGGTACTTGTAGTTGATGAAAGACGCGAGATCTTATAAAATAGGAATGATGTCACATATGGCGCGTGTCATTGGTTGAAGGCAATCGTTCGATTTAGTGCGGCGACGTACGCTAGGGGGAGCGATGTAATAAAATCGAGTGGGCAAAATGTACAGAGGATTCATGGTTTACCAGGTTTACCTCCGTAGCTTCGCCCACTCATCATCATT